ATAGGCATTGATTTCAGCAGCTTAGACATTGTCAACTTTCAAGAATTAGTAAACTTTCAAGAAACTTTCATGGTTAATGAACTTTTCCATTGAATGCCAGCTGCTGTATGGATATTCCTGAACAACAAACAGGATGACGTCCCAAAGAGCAGCAAGTCAAATTCAAGTCATTCATTGAGGCAGCTGCTCTAATTTACATTGGAGTATTGGGGAATAATTAAATACCTGAACCTTAAAATTGAATAAAATACATCAAAATTCAACAGGCAAAGTTACTGACAAGGCTTTTTAATGATTTACAAACAGGATGACAAGGTTTTGAGCAAAAAATCCCCTGAAAAAACGTTTGAAAAAGATGAAAACATGTGGACGTTATGGACATTAGAAGTTTTTAAGGCCTGGTTTGACAAAGGCCTGGCTGGGATGATTTAGTTGGTGTTGGTCCTGCCTTGAACAAGGGGTTGGACTAGATGACCTCCTGAGATCTCTTCCAACCCTAATCTTCTATGATTCTATGACTTGGTAACCCCCGGTAACTTTTCTACTCAAATAGAAAATAAGAGTTCCATTAATGAATGATGAGGAGTACTTGTGGCACCTTAGAGACTAACAAATTTATTTGGGCATAAGCTTTTGTGGGCTAAAACCCACTTCATCAGATTCATGGAGTGGAAAATACAAGTAGGCAGATATATATACACAGTACATGAAAAGATGCGATTTGCCTTACCAAGTGGAGGGTCAGTTCTAGTGAGACAATTCAATTAAAGTGGAAAAGGGCAATTATCAACAGGCTCCATGCATCTGATGAAGTGGGTTTTAGCCCGCAAAAGCTTATGCCCAAATAAATATGTTAGTCTCTAAGGTGCCACAAGTACTCCTCATTGTTTTTGCTGATACAGACTAACACAGCTACCACTCTGAAACCTATTAATGAATACGTTAGGATGATCCACGTGTACATGTCAAGAATATTGCTGAATGGTAGAAAATAAAGGACTAGGTGGTGTTAATTCAATGAGGAATGTTAATGATTTATAATGACATAGAATGGTGAATGAAAAACAAATCATGAACATTTGGATACATGGATAACTGGGCACATGTAATGTTAAATGATGTTAATTGGGGGAAAGCTAATGAATATGTGATGTGGAAATGTATAAGAACCAAGTGAATGAGGGCCCAACTCAGAGAAATGCCAGACAGGAAACTGAAGGAATGAGACTGAAGGAGCAGAGCAGAGACTGTGATAATGATCATGAAGTGGAGAAGAGCTCCCCAGTACCCTGGAACATGGTAACTTGGGTCCCTAACTCTTCCATCTGATCTGTTTATTATCTGGCATAAATATATGACCAGAAATTACAAGTTACAATAATTCTGTCTGAAAATTTATAAAGATGAAAATTGATTATGCCTAAATTGGGTGAACATGTGACTCATTTTCCCACCTTACAGGGGGCTGAGCAGGCCCTTGCATGGACCTAAAATACAGAGAGTACAAAGATGGCCCTAAGGATGGGTACAAAGTAACTGAGATTCATTCCCTTTGCATCGGCATGTGTTTCTGTCACTAACATCGAGCATCAGACTCCAAGGTATGATCTGCCATGATCAACAACAGCAGAGCAATTGACAAGAGAACAATAATGATATTAGGAGGCCAAGCAACAAACACTCTGCAATTAGCCCAGTACATATTTTTGGTATCAGCTACATCTCATGGATGAGCCTCATCCTCCTTCTCAAGGAGAAATGTGCAATTAATAAGCATTTTATACAGTGATAAATATTCTTTTAATCCGTATTACTCTTGAGACAGACATTCGAGATGTAATTTTACTTAAAAGGACCAGCAGAACCAAGAAACGACCCTGCAATTATGTAGCAAAATATCACATAAATACTTTCCCTCTTTGTGGAGACTACTTGGTAATTATACTGCAAATCACCTGGAACGGAACCACAAAGATTAAGTGAAATATCTTCCAGCCTTCAGATCTCATCTTTAATGCTCTAGTTTAAAACACAGTTGGAACCACATATTGTAATCTTGGATAATCATAGTGTAGGCAGGATCAGGGATTACTAATTACAATGGGCCCAATTTTAAAAGGTATTTAAGCACCTAACGATGCAGATAGACACCTAGTTGTATTTTAAAAAAACACTTAGAATGGATAGAAGACCAGACCTTAGGAGACACATCCACATTTAAAAATCTGGCCCAGTGCTGTTATTACGGATTTATTTGTGACCTGTGAAAAGTTGCGAAGCTGAAATTTTTTATGTGGTGGTTCTAAGCTTTACCTATGGATAACAATAATTATTTGTGTTATAACTACTCTGGTAATATGTTCCCTGCCTTACTTCATTAATTTATGCAAACTTTTTGTTTGTTTTTCGGACTGCATTTACACTTCTGGAACAATGGCTCCGATTAGTATGTAAAAAGAAAATAAGTAATTAGGGAAGCTGAAGCTATTGTATACATGGTTCATGCTCCTAGCACTTGCATGTATTCAACCATTAGCATGTGAATAAGACAGTGATGAGACTGTTGGCCATGTATTCCATTTACTGGAATAAGATTATCTTGCTGAGTTTGAAGTAGAAGTTGAATAATTGGGTCACAAAGGTAAATTAAACTATTAGGCTTTAGCAAGTGAAACCTCCATCTACATCTACCATGGGGCATAAAGATACTTATATTCCACATTCTGTTTCAGAAAAGAAAACTACATATTTCATTTGTATTGCCATTTAATGAAAAAACAATAGCAGTGAAATGTTAAGTCTGTGCTTTCAGACCCAAATAGGACAATTTAAAACTCTTGCATTGTATATTATTTTAAAAATCCTTATGCTGTTATGACCCTGCTGCAACCTCCACATACACGCTGGCCCAGTCTGCATTAATTTAGTGTCCTACTGCATCATTAACTCCAGCTTTAAACCTGCCTACACTTAGGCTTGATAGTAATAGGGCCTAGTAAAATTTGAGTGAAGGGAAGCAATTCAGAGGCAAGTTAGAGATGACCTGAGATTATGTTCTAACTCATGTTGTAAACACGTTTTTGGTTTTAACACTGTTTTTAGACAAAATGTGACTATTTTGACAGAATGCTATCTGTATGGATAGTTATTAGAATGATATTCACACAGCTTTATTTTAGATTATGTTTATTATTAAACAGCCAATGAGATAGTAAAAAATATTTAAGTATGGTAGCGGAAATATAGATATGGTAAAAGGTAGGCTTAATGCTAATTAATTAAGGGGTGTTATTACAACTGATTATGGTAGCAGGCTAATTTTAGATTAGCACTGCTCATCTACCATCAAGGTACCATTAGAGAAAGGATTATATATCCATTCTTCTCATCTAGCGACTGATCACTCTGGGATGCACCATTTCTGGGATGCATCTTGGAATGTGAATATAAATGGAGCCCATGGTTATATTGTAATGCCTGCTGGCTTTAACTAATTATTTGATTTTAAATAGAATAGTTAATTCTATCACTCGTGTCATTCACAGTTCTCCATTAAATTAAATGATCTATAACTGTCCCCGAGACTCAGACCTTCTAGAGATTCTATTCCTTATCTTTACAGTATTAATTGGGAACACACAAATCTAGATCACACAGAGGTTGTGTGGCTCCTTTGGGATGAAAGGTGATATAAAGTCCTATTCTGGAATTTTAATTTTGAATCAGCCTTTATCCGGCTTCAAAACCTCTCTTCGGTCTCCAAGCACAGGAAAGGACTCAGAACCTGACGAATGAGAAGGGGACAACACATGAGCTTACCATCAAAGTGCTTCTTTTTTTAGTATATTGCTTTAGCTGCCTGTGTTTAGAGACATGAGATAGACAAACTTTCCTTATTTTGCTCTATACCACCTACTTCTAATGATTGTGATTCAGGCTATAAAAATATCACTGCAAGGACAATGTTTTATTTAAAAAAAATCGTGAATACAAAACAACTCGAGAAATCGAAGCCGTGGGCAGAATATGCTTTACTGATGTTGTTCTTTTCAGAGAAACAGTGGTAGACTTTTATTTCAGGATGGTAACAGACCAAAGCTGATATGCACCTCCTGTGTCAACATAAGAGATGGATGAACGAATAACTGCCTGAGAGCAAAACAGTTACATGAATGTACTCTCATACTTAGGAAAATAAGGCAGTGACCATGCAGAGTTAAGGAGTTTCTAAACTATCTTTTAAAAATAAAAAATATGTAATGTAGGAGACAATGAATTTGTCTTAATGGACATCTATTTCATTTAACCCCTTTTATCCTGTATATCACAAATCCAGCAAACTGGCACCTGTGACCTGAGATAAATGATGATATATGTTACAGGGTTCCATTGATGCAGATGGAATTGATGTGTCTTTTGACTGCCCAACATGGGTTACATTTCACTATCTATCCATATACACTACTTCCATTGATGCCAGTGAAAATAGCATGAAAAGATCAAAGGTAGACTCTGATAGTGGTAAAGGCAGTGAGAAAAAAGAGCATTCCCTGTTCACTAGCTGTTTAGCTTCTCTTTAAAAGTAAACTGAATTGGTTTTGATTGGTTAAAATCATTTCATTCAATGCCAGATTATACATCCAGGTATCATGGGTTTGCTATGTGTAGTTAGTATTCAGACTGTCACATGACTGTGAAAACTACAATTTTACTTTCATAACCCTTGGGCAGCTTGAAACTAAAATCTATTTAATCTGTTTCCTTACTGAAGTGTGCATTCTTCTATTTCCCAAGCACACTTATTTGTTCACTGTAAAGTTGCTTGAAAACAATGGAGCTAGAAAAGCCTTTCTTTGTTCCAAAACCCGCAGGTTCATTTATTTGATCTGAGGAAAAAAGCCCTGAAACATCACATACTGTATGAACTACACAAGCAAAAAGAAAACAGAGATCAAATTTTAGGTGGAATGCAACTGCAAGAACCACAGCCAACCGTGATGTTATGCTTATGCATTTTTATTTAAATAAAGGAAATTAACAGCCAATTATGTTTCTTATTGACTATAATATTACACACTTATTATAAAATTAAATATCTTTGGTTAAGATTTTCTACCAATCTTCACATCATTAATACAGAGAGTATTGCTACTGGTAACCTGCTAGTTTAAGGACAACAGGGTATCGCGTGCGATGGGCCATGCACTTCTGCCTATCAATAAAAATGCTGTTCGATTTCACAGCTATCTCCTTCTCCAGACTCATCCGCGTGTCTTCCAGGTTCCTCAGAGACTGTTCAGCCTCCAGTAGTTTCTGCTTCAGAGACTCAATGGACTCTGTCAGTTCTTCAACTTCACTGATCAACCTGAATAGAATTAAATAAGTAATCAAAATTAGAGGAAGGCTCCAAAGGCATGTGAGCTGTTATAGTTCTCTGGTTAGCTGTCTTTGTTCTTCTGAAACTCAACAGCCCAGTAATTGGGTGTTAGTCTGTACAACGGCTAGCAGGGCCTGGTGGGTGCTATGGACTTTGAGCTAAAGAATTATGAAATGAAGCTGCTCTCCGAGCTGTGAATGAAGTCTCTTCCAATAAACATAAAGCTAGGACTAATTTCAAAACGACTGTAATTATAAAGGTCTCCTAAAATTTATATTGTAAAAAATATGCTCAACAAACTCCAAGATAACCTTTCCCCATTTGGAATAGTCATGAAAGAATGATATGTTGTCCTAGATACTATTCCATTCTGCAAGCATCCTATGTTAACAACTGAAGGGCTAAAGATGGTTTAGATGACTGACTGATTTTTGACTGCCTGAACGTTCATGTAAGCCCAAATTTTTACCTCTGCTCGCTGGTGTACAACTGGAGGAACTACTGAAGCCCCTAGTGTTACTCCAGATGTACATTGATGTAAGTGAGATCACCACACGTTCCTTAGGTTCTTTTTAGAATGAATTGTAGAGAAGAGTTTCAAAGCCATAAAAGGCAGTTAGGTGCACGACTCTCATTGAAAGTTCCCCACAAATGTTTATTTCTTGGGAAAAGGGGATGCTATATATAAGGGGTATGTATTGGGGGGAGAGGAGTAAAGTGAAACAATATAAGGCCCCATTTCAGAAAAACAATTAAGCACATCGCTATTCAGCAAAGCACTTAAGCATGTCCTTATATCCTATTAGAAGCAATGCACATGTTTAAGAGCTTTGAGTAGGGATGGTTTGCTGAATCAGGGCCTAAATGAATGTGTCTGAGATAGCATAAAGCATTTGAATTAAGTAAAATGATCGAATCACTATACAGAGGAGAGAAGCAGCATATTGGCTTTGAATGGTGTATATTTTTGCTATAACCACCTGGGAAAGCTGATCACAAATTTTCCTAAGGGCAGGGGAAAAAAACACAAGTGGGAGAATCAATTACAAGCACAATAATGAGATCAAGAGTAACAAATTACATTCCGACCTTTAATTTGAAAGGATTTATTGCCCTCCAGTTTTTAAATGGATTATTACTGAAAATCGAATGCCATCAGCTAGTTCTTTAGAGGAGCTGATGAGTTTTCTCAGCTTCTAGAAATGCACAGCCCATTTACATTCGCAGTGCTTGAAGCGTAATTGATTCACCACATAATCCACCTCCCAGTGAACCTCTGCCAAGAGCATACCGTCTGCAAATTATCTACAACCTGTCAGGTTATTTTGGATCAGTTGGATAAGGTAAAGACCCCCACTGTTCAAAGAAGAAAGCGGACAGATATGTTTATGGATTCTCTATTTATAAACATTTTGGACCTGATTCAGATCTTCTTTACGCTGATTTCAATGGCATAACTCCCAGTTCACATCAGTGAAAGGTATTGGAATCAAGCCCAGTAATTAAGCGCTGAAGGCCACATGCTACAAAACTAAATGTCAACATATTTCATACAACAGTGGCAGTGACATTGTTAAACTTGGGGATTAGATAATTGACATTTCAGAACTGGCATCAATGGGTAAAACTCCATTGAATCTATGTCAACCCATTGAAGTCAATGATACACACATTCACAATAACACCTTATTGTGAATGGGTAAACCATTTATTTCTTTGCCACTGTATGTCTCTGCCAGGCAGAAGTTCTCTAAAAATGTCTTTGATATAATTGGGGTCTTTAATGACTCTCTCTTTAATGTGTTTACCTGAATTGTGCTGGATCTCTGCAGAGCTCAACGTTGGGCCTAAAAGATCTGTCGTACAGCCTTGTCTGAGCCACTTTCAGCGGAGCTTCTTTGTCCTTAATAGCTTGTTTGAGAGCAGCAATGTTGTTTTCTTGATCTCCAATCTCTTTAAGAGTCTGTTTGAAGAGAATATCCATGAAAAAAGACAAGTTTAAGACAATAAATTAACTTATATGGTACTATTAGTGTGTATAGCACTTTACAGACATTAAATGATGGGGCCTCTTCATGCTCCCAAGGAATCAACAGTAGTTTTGCTCCTGCTAGGTAGACCGTTGCTGCCAGAATTTGGGAGGTGCAAAGGCCCTATAAAGCTCTTTTGTCTCCTTATCTCTGTTCCTACACTGAGCAGAGTGAAAAGTCTGATGTCCATTTTAAAGAGAAGCTGAAGAATTTTTGCAGCTGATTAAATACTACCGTCTATTTGTACTCTCATCGGAACCTGTTCATGGCACAATCCGTCTCAGTGAATTATTTCTGGCACTGCAATTAATGTAAATTACTCAAAAAGTGACAGGCTATTTTAAATTAGATCAGAAAGATTACCTATGCTTATGTTCACAGATTTCTGGCATTAGTGAAGCTGAAATCACTATGAAAAGAATCAGGATTTCTCACTTTATCTACTTTAAAACCAGTGAACTCCACTGACTTTGATGGATTTCAGAGGAACAGCCGTGTTAGTCTGTATTCGCAAAAAGAAAAGGAGTACTTGTGGCACCTTAGAGACTAACCAATTTATTTGAGCATGAGCTTTCGTGAGCTACAGCTCACTTCATCAGATGCATACCGTGGAAACTGCAGCAGACTTTATATACACACAGAGAATATGAAACAATACCTCCTCCCACCCCACTGTCCTGCTGGTAATAGCTTATCTAAAGTGATCAACAGGTGGGCCATTTCCAGCACAAATCCAGGTTTTCTCACCCTCCACCCCCCCACACACAAATTCACTCTCCTGCTGGTGCTAGCCCATCCAAAGTGACAACTCTTTACATAATCAAGTCGGGCTATTTCCTGCATAGATCCAGGTTTGCTCACATCCCCCCCACCCTTTGTGACTTTGTCCTTACCCATAACTATTTCACATCTGGGGACAATGTATACCTTCAGATCAGCGGCACTGCTATGGGTACCTGCATGGCCCCACAGTATGCCAACATTTTTATGGCTGATTTAGAACAACGCTTCCTCAGCTCTCGTCCCCTAAAGCCCCTACTCTACTTGCGCTATATTGATGACATCTTCATCATCTGGACCCATGGAAAAGAAGCCCTTGAGGAATTCCACCATGATTTCAACAATTTCCATCCCACCACCAACCTGAGCCTGGTCCAGTCCACACAAGAGATCCACTTCCTGGACACTACAGTGCTAATAAACAATGGCCACATAAACACCACCCTATACCGGAAACCTACTGACCGCTATTCCTACCTGCATGCCTCCAGCTTTCACCCTGACCACACCACACGATCCATCGTCTACAGCCAAGCTCTGCGATACAACCGCATTTGCTCCAACCCCTCAGACGGAGACAAACACCTACAAGATCTCTGTCAAGCTTTCTTACAACTACAATACCCACCTGCAGAAGTAAAGAAACAGATTGATAGAGCCAGAAGAGTTCCCAGAAGTTACCTACTACAGGACAGGCCTAACAAAGAAAATAACAGAACGCCACTAGCGGTCACCTTCAGCCCCCAACTAAAAACCCCTCCAACGCATTATTAAGGATCTACAACCTATCCTAAAGGATGACCCAACACTCTCACAAGTGTTGGGAGACAGGCCAGTCCTTGCCTACAGACAGCCCCGCAACCTGAAGCAAATACTCACCAACAACCACATACCACACAACAGAACCACTAACCCAGGAACTTATCCTTGCAACAAAGCCCGTTGCCAATCGTGCCCACATATCTATTCAGGGGACACCATCACAGGGCCTAATAACATCAGCCACACTATCAGAGGCTCGTTCACCTGCACATCCACCAATGTGATATATGCCATCATGTGCCAGCAATGCCCCTCTGCCATGTACATTGGTCAAACTGGACAGTCTCTACGTAAAAGAATAAATGGACACAAATCAGATGTCAAGAATTATAACATTCATAAACCAGTCGGAGAACACTTCAATCTCTCTGGTCACACAATCACAGACATGAAGGTCGCTATCTTAAAACAAAAAAACTTCAAATCCAGACTCCAGCGAGAAACTGCTGAATTGGAATTCATTTGCAAATTGGATACTATTAATTTAGGCTTAAATAGAGACTGGGAGTGGCTAAGTCATTATGCAAGGTAGCCTGTTTCCTCTTGTTTTTTCCTACCCCCCCCCCCCCCCCAGATGTTCTGGTTTAACTTGGATTTAAACTTGGAGAGTGGTCAGTTTAGATGAGCTATTACCAGCAGGAGAGTGAGTTTGTGTGTGTATGGGGGTGGGGGGGATGTGAGCAAACCTGGATCTATGCAGGAAATAGCCCGACTTGATTATGTAAAGAGTTGTCACTTTGGATGGGCTAGCACCAGCAGGAGAGTGAATTTGTGTGTGGGGGGGTGGAGGGTGAGAAAACCTGGATTTGTGCTGGAAATGGCCCACCTGTTGATCACTTTAGATAAGCTATTACCAGCAGGACAGTGGGGTGGGAGGAGGTATTGTTTCATATTCTCTGTGTGTATATAAAGTCTGCTGCAGTTTCCACGGTATGCATCTGATGAAGTGAGCTGTAGCTCACGAAAGCTCATGCTCAAATAAATTGGTTAGTCTCTAAGGTGCCACAAGTACTCCTTTTCTTTTTGACTTTGATGGAGTTACTCCAGAATTAAATCAGTGAAAATGAGTATAATCAAGGCCCATGAATCTGTATTTCTGATTTTTTTTTTACAAGGTATTATGCATTTTCACAGAATCATTCAGTCATGAGTTGCTGAATGTCAGTTTGTTGCACCTTTGGACTTTAAGGAGAAAAAACAAAATGGAAATTAACATTAATGCCCATAGAACTTCAGTAGTATTACAGTGGATGCCGTTAAAAAACAAGTATCATACCAATGGTATTGTCCTTACACACAGTAGGTAATACATTTAGAATGCACAGTGTACCATGCTAAATGCTCGCTTTTTAAGAGTATAATAATAAAAATAATCTTGGGAAGCAACTAGTGCAGTGGTTCCCAAACTTGTTCCGCCATTTTGTGCAGGGAAAGCCCCTGGCACGCCAGGCTGGTTTGTTTACCTGTCGCGTCCGCAGGTTCGGCCAATCGTGGCTCCCACTGGCCACGTTTCGCTGCTCCAGGCCAATGGGAGCTGCTGGAAGCGGTGTGGGCTGAGGGACGTACTGGCCGCTGCTTCCAGCAACTCCCATTGGCCTGGAGCAGTGAACCACAGCCACTGGGAGCCGCGATTGGCTGAATCTGTGGACGCGGCAGATAAACAAACCGGCCTGGCCCACCAGGGGCTTTCCCTGAACAAGCGGCAGAACAAGTTTGGGAACCACTGAACTAGTGGTTACTGGCAGTGATGTATATGATACTGACTACTGTAATCTTCCCTTGAGAGGTACAGTCACAGTAAAAATGCTCTCACTAGTTTATTAGATATGTTATGGAAAAGGCACCATAATGCACACTACTGTGGATGCTTCTATTTAGGAGTGACATGTTCATAAAAATGTTACCATTTCTCTATCCCCGCCCCCACCTGTCCTCTGCTAGCTCAGAGCTGCCCTTCAATGGGATCCAAAGCTTTTTTACTTTGCCTCCAACAACATCTTGAAACATCTCACCCTATTAATAGCTTTTAAATAGGAGTCTATGTTGTATGTGTACGTGTCTTGCATGTACAGCAAGATACACACTGTGTACTCTTCACACATGGATACAGTGGGAAAAATCCACCCTGGGTTAATTCCACTGACTTCAGTGGGGCTACACCTGAGATGAACATTGACCTAGTACTTTACAGATAGACAGGTGGGAAACACCTATTAGATCATAAAGTTCATCTCCTTGCCAGGGCAGGAGTTAGGCCCTGATTCAGCAAAGCACTTAAGCATGTGCTTAACTTTGAGCATGCATTTTAAGTCCACCGTGATTTAGTGATGCAGTGACAATAAGGGAACTTAAGCACACTTAAATATAATCATGTGCTTAGATGTTCTGCTGAATCAGGGTCACAACTGGAAACCCTATCAGATACTAAACTGACACAAAATACTATTCTATACTCTAAATGGACTAAGCAACTCTTGTTTCTTGATCATTCTGCGGTGATGATCTCAATATGTGTGAAAACTAATGGAAGCAGCTTAGCCAATAAACTCAGGGGCACCCTTACTTTTTTCAAATGATGTTCCAGTTTGTGTTTTGCATCTTCCATCTCTTCACAGCGTTTAGCAAAAGCCTCATTGACAGCAGCGCACTGCAAGTGGAGATCCTCAGCTGTGTCATGAAGGATATTGTCAATCAATAAACGGAGGTTGATGGAAGCCAGTCGCTCTCGCTCTGCCCTATAGATGTTGTCATGGCTGAATTTTGCCCAGGTTTCAGGTGTTGAGGCACTGTAAGGGATAGGGCAGGAATCACTCTCATGAACAACTTTGTTCAAGTTGCAATGGAAAAGAAAAGCCAAAGCAGAACTGTTCCATTTCCTTGGGTTTTATCATCCCATAAACTTTCCTGCTATGGCATGCACCCTTTAGTATTACTATAAATAAAACATGGGGGAACAGCAGGTGGGAGTACTCTCACCTGTCCTCTCACTTCTGAAGCAGAGAGAGATACACTAAATAGAATCATCAGAAGTTCTATCACCTTTAACAAATAGAATAAAGGCAAAACAAAAAATAAGAATCACTCATACATCTTAACTATACTGAGAGTGGCAAACATTGTTAAGACAGTGGTACATAAGCACTAGGATTTCTAGCCAATTAAGCTTTACAACCCATGTCTACTTTATCTACAAAGCAGATTGAAATATGATTCTGTGGTAATACTTTGCCATCTGTTGAGCATCAGAAGGAACTATATAACATTTTGTAAACTACATTGCAGGATTGGAGGGAAAAAAGTGACATTTATAATAGTTAAGCAATAAAATTCTGTTCTATATAACTTTTCTTTCAACAACTAACCCAGGGCCTTCTGTAATTCAATCTAATCAAGCCTTTGCATTGACTTCAATGGGTTTTGAATAACACCCCACCCAAATGTTTATAACAAATTATTGCTAAGAACTGATATTTTTGCAAATATAATATGTATTTGTTTGGTATAAAATAAACTTATATATAAAAATGGTGTGGTTTTAGCTGATACAGAGGATCCTTTACATCTCAATGGCTTTCCTTGTATAGGTTAATAACAAGTAGTCCTCACCTTTCCTCAAACTTTGATGAGCTGGGATGGAACTGGATGTTGGTGCTCTGATTATTGTATCTTCCACATTTGTCATCAATGTTGTATGTTTCCACCTTATCAGACCAATCCATTTCACAAATCTGCTTGTGATCTCGATTTAATCTAAAAAGGTGAAGATTACCACAAATCAGTGCTGGAAAAATAATACGACCTTGCAAAAACATCATGAAAATGTATGAGTCCAGAGGACAGAGCCTAGGACTTTCAAAGAAAGCTGGGTAGCTAACCCTCCTCCGATCCTTTGAAAATTCCAGCCCCAAATCTATTTCCCCAACCTTGCACAGCAGCACCCTACTACCCACTTCCATCCCTCCGCCCCAACTCTCCTCTGTACTAACTGCAATAGCTGGAGGTCTGATGGTGAGGTGCAGACCTGGACCTGGGGTTTCACAGAGTAATCCTGGTGGACAGGGAGCCCATATGGGAACTTCATAATGTGACCCACATGGTTTTCTTAGTCCTCTTTCCCACTCACCCAAAGTTTTTATCAAGGAGACAGCATGATTTGATCCTCAGAAAACACAGTATAATGACATTAAAAATTAAACCTGTTGCTTTATTCTAAATTAAATCTCTCCTGCCTACCACAATTAATTTAAAGATCTTTAGCAACAGTTAGTTATAAAATGTACCATTTTTCTCTCGCCTGTTACCACCAGATGTCAGTATGAACTAAGGAATCAAAAAGTCTACAAATGTTAACCTATGTAATACTACACCAAGACGATCTTACAACAATTATTAATACAAAGTAAAGTCTGAACTCAATAGATCCTGTATTGTGCTTTGAAGGAGGTTGCGACACAACAGCCCGTATTCTTCATAGAAATATTGTTATAATATGATTATAGCATAACTATGATATGTTTTGTGCAAGATAAGGCATGTGAGATATCATTGGAAAGGTTATGATTTACTGAATATGATTATCCTATTTGTATGCATGTATCATTTTTGTATCTAAACTTTGGAATATTGACTATACATCTTAACTACAAAAGTGTTTGCCCCTGGGGAACGCCCACCAGACAAAATGCAATCAGCCTGGCTGGCTAGCTGGGGACAAGTCAATGAACCATTAAGGAGAACAATAGGTCTTTGAAGATGCTAATCTCCCACCTTCTGGAGAAGCTTCCTGGGATGCTACAAATGGCCTTTGCCTCATGGCTGCTTTGACACTACAGGGTCATGTGGTCATGTCACCTGGTACTGGACTCCAACATAGAATACCAATATTTTTCCACTGAGGGGGGTGGGAATCACACTGAAAGACAAAGGATTCCTGCCATATGTGAATCCTATTTAAGGGAGGGAAGGGAGTTAATCAGGGTTCTTTCTTCACTGAACCCCCGCCCAGGATGACTGCTGGAAACATCTAAAGCTGCAGCAGCGCTGTAATGTGGCTGTGTAGTCGTGGCACCAGCACTGGGAGAGAGCTCTTTACAGCGCTGAAACTTGCAGCGCTCGGGGTGGGGGTGGCGTGTTTTTTCACACCCCTGAGCGAGAAAGTTGCAGCACTGTAAAGTGGCAGTGTAGACAAGGCCTAAGAAACAAAGACAAAGGGGAGGGCGGGGAGAGCTGAGCCCAGGCTGGAAAAGGTGTCTGGCTTGTGAAAGAAATGCCTAAAACAACATTTAGGGTGAGAAATTACTACTTGTAACCAGTTTCTTTAGTGTATTAAGCTTAGTTTGCGTGTTTGTTTTATTTGCTCAGTAATCTGCTTTGATCTGTTTGCTATCCCTTATAAAAACTTAAAATCTATCTTGTGTAGTTAATAAGCTTGCTTTTGTTTTCTCTAAACCCAGTTTGTGGAATTCATAACAGGGCGGGGGGGAGGAAGCTGTGCATATCTTCCTCCACATTGAGGGAGGAGGCGAATTTCAATAAGCTTACGCTGTATAGTTCTCTGTGCATCACAGACAAAACAATTTTGGGTTTGCACCCCAGCAGGGGTGTGCACTTGAGTGCTGGGCAATTCCCTAGCTGAGTCTTCCCATGCAGAGCTGATTTCAGTATCCATGTCATTCCACAGCTGGTGTGTCCCTACCTGTGTGTTTGCTGGAGGAGGCTTGAGGGCCTGGCTCAGCAGGCCAGAGTAAGGGAGCCCAGGCTGATGGAATAGGAGGGGTCAGTGGTACCCCAGTACATCAGGTGGCACCCCGGAGTGGGGGGTAACCCATCACAGAGGTAATTAAACTATTTGAAATTGTTGTGTGATTCCACTTTTTATAAGCATTCTTTATTAAAATAATATTCTGCTTTATATCTAAGAAAATAAGACAAATGCTGGCTGATAAGAATAAAAGATTTTGAAATGTAATGTGTACTATTAATTGCCTCACCTTGAAATACCTTAGAATTTAGTAAACATCTTATCTTCAGACAGGTATATTGTAACATAAATGTAAACACTACTTTTCAAGAGCAAACAGACTTCCGTACTAGCAAAGATACTGTCAGGTTTTTTCACTTCCTTAATTCATACTCACATCTGACGGCAACAGCTCAAGGGGCACAAGGGTACTTTTTTCTAACAAATTGTTTAAAAAGAGATTTTAAAATAGCTGTACTAGTCCCAATGCAATAGAGCAGTGACTTCAACAGAATAAAATGTTTTTACTGTACTTCTACTTAAATGCAATTTTGAGCCATCACAGAACTAGACAGATCTATTTGAAAGCAAGATGAAAAATCTGACCTAACGTTATAGAATAATGGTAACTATTGCTACAAAAAGACATGGCACTTCTCTTACACCACCTGGCTTGCTTACAATGCTGCCTTTCCATATACATAATTGTATCTATTTTGAGGGCTTAAATAGAATGGCATAGGCCTTGTGAATTTCACCTACTGACAGTTGTGTCCATAGAGGTCAGGAATGAATTTGGTCCTATAAATCATTAAGTACTTAGGAACAGTGAAAAGCATCTTACTGCATCTGGTTAACAGCTTGCATCAAAGTTCTCTTCAGAAGTTCTTGTACATTTCTGATAAGTTCAACTTCCTAGATAAAAATATAAAAATTATGATATTCAGTACATCCCATTTTCAGAGACCTTTGCTTTCAACCACTACTGGTGCATTGCTAAATTGTCCACTAATTATCCATTCTCTTTGTGACACTATTTTTCATTATTGTAAAGACTTTGTCAAGATCTTCCGAGGAGTTAGATATGATTCAAATATAAGGTAGATCAATCAACATTGAATTCATTCAATAAATTACAGGTTTGTGACTAATGCTTAAAGTATTTCCATTCTTTAGAATTTGTTGTTTTAATACTGCATGTATATTAAGAGTAAGGAATATGTTTTATCATATTTAAGACAAGATTTGCAACAGTATAGGCTGATATATAGATGTTGGTGCTAGACCTTTTACAAAATTATTGTATGTTTAAATGGCTTTAAGGCACCCACTGAAAAATAATCTATTGAATTTCAAAGCTTTGTCATATAGGATCAGACCAACTTAGTCCAGAATCCTGCATCTGGTAATGGACAACACCAAGGAATATGGAAAAATCTCATAATGCATCTAGTCAGTTCAACAATGTTGTAGATGGAGGCCCAATTGTCTCCTAAAGCCAGCAGGTGATTAGTTTATGCCCTGAAGAGTTGACCCACCTCCTTGATAATGGGACAGATGTCTAAAGCCCCAGGTTGAACTGATGCATCATGCTAATTTCATAATTAAATTTATTTGGATAGGAAACTAAAAGTCTGTATTTTAAAATATCCTTTACTGAACAAGGAAGCATCTTAGGTTGTAAGAAGTTTGCTTTGTTCCTGAAGTGCCATCATACAAGAGTGATGTAGTGGTGGGAGTCTGCTATAGACCACCGGACCAGGGGGATGAGGTGGATGAGGCTTTCTTCCAGCAAGTCGCAGAAGCTACTAGATCGCACGCCCTGGTTCTCATGGGTGACTTTAATTTTCCTAATATCTGCTGGGAGAGCAATACAGCGGTGCATAGACAATCCAGGAAGTTTTTGGAAAACGTAGGGGACAATTTCCTGGTGCAAGTGCTAGAGGAGCCAACTAGGGAGGGAGCTTTTCTTGACCTGCTGCTCACAAACCGGGAAGAATTAGTGGGGGAAGCAAAAGTGGATGGGAATTTGGGAGGCAGTGACCATGAGTTGGTTGAGTTCAGGATCCTGACACAGGGAAGAAAGGTAAGCAGCAGGATATGGACCCTGGACTTCAGGAAAGCAGACTTCGACTCCCTCAGGGAATGGATGGGTAGGATCTCCTTGGGGACTAACATGAAGGGGAAAGGAATCCAGGAGAGCTGGCTGTATTTCAAGGAATCCCTGTTGAGGTTACAGGGACAAACCATCCCGATGTGTCGAAAGAATAGTAAATATGGCAGGCGACCAGCTTGGCTTAACGGTGAAATCCTAGCGGATCTTAAACATAAAAAAGAAGCTTACAAGAAGTGGAAGGTTGGACATATGACCAGGGAAGAGTATAAAAATATTGCTCGGGCATGTAGGAATGAAATCAGGAGGGCCAAATCGCACCTGGAGCTGCAGCTAGCAAGAGATGTCAAGAGTAACAAGAAGGGTTTCTTCAGGTATGTTGGCAACAAGAAGAAAGTCAAGGAAAGTGTGGGCCCCTTACTGAATGAGGGAGGCAACCTAGTGACAGAGGATGTGGAAAAAGCTAATGTACTCAATGCTTTTTTTGCCTCTGTCTTCACTAACAAGGTCAGCTCCCAGACTGCTGCGCTGGGCATCACAGCATGGGGAGTAGATGGCCAGCCCTCTGTGGAAAAAGAGGTGGTTAGGGACTATTTAGAAAAGCTGGATGTGCACAAGTCCATGGGGCCGGACGAGTTGCATCCAAGAGTGCTAAAGGAATTGGCGGCTGTGATTGCAGAGCCATTGGCCATTATCTTTGAAAACTCGTGGTGAACGGGGGAAGTCCCAGATGACTGGAAAAAGGCTAATGTAGTGCCAATCTTTAAAAAAGGGAAGAAGGAGGATCCTGGGAACTACAGGCCAGTCAGCCTCACCTCAGGCCCCGGAAAAATCATGGAGCAGGTCCTCAAAGAATCAATCCTGAAGCACTTACATGAGAGGAAAGTGATCAGGAACAGTCAGCATGGATTCACCAAGGGAAGGTCATGCCTGACTAATCTAATCGCCTTCTATGATGAGATTACTGGTTCTGTGGATGAAGGGAAAGCAGTGGATGTTTTGTTTCTTGACTTTAGCAAAGCTTTTGACATGGTCTCCCACAGTATTCTTGTCAGCAAGTTAAAGTAGTATGGGCTGGATGAATGCACTGTAAGGTGGGTAGAAAGTTGGCTAGATTGTCGGGCTCAACGGGTAGTGATCAATGGCTCCATGTCTAGTTGGCAGCCGGTGTCAAGCGGAGTGCCCCAGGAGTCGGTCCTGGGGCCGGTTTTGTTCAATATCTTCATAAATGATCTGGAGGATGGTGTGGATTGCACTCTCAGCAAATTTGCGGATGATACTAAACTAGGAGGAGTGGTAGATACGCTGGGGGGCAGGGATAGGATACAGAGGGACCTAGACAAATTGGAGGATTGGGCCAAAAGAAATCTGATGAGGTTCAATAAGGATAAGTGCAGAGTCCTGCACTTAGGACGGAAGAACCCAATGCACTGCTACAGACTAGGGACCGAATGGCTAGGCAGCAGTTCTGCGGAAAAGGACCTAGGGGTGACAGTGGACGAGAAGCTGGATATGAGTCAGCAGTGTGCCCTTGTTGCCAAGAAGGCCAATGGTATTTTGGGATGTATAAGTAGGGGCATAGCGAGCAGATCGAGGGAGTGATCGTCCCCCTCTATTCGACATTGGTGAGGCCTCATCTGGAGTACTGTGTCCAGTTTTGGGCCCCACACTACAAGAAGGATGTGGATAAATTGGAGAGAGTCCAGCGAAGGGCAACAAAAATGATTAGGGGTCTGGAACACATGACTTATGAGGAGAGGCTGAGGGAACTTGGATTGTTTAGTCTGCAGAAGAGAAGAATGAGGGGGGATTTGATAGCTGCTTTCAACTACCTGAGAGGTAGTTCCAGAGAGGATGGTTCTAGACTATTCTCAGTGGTAGAAGAGGACAGGACAAGGAGTAATGGTCTCAAGTTGCAGTGGGGGAGGTTTAGGTTGGATATTAGGAAAAACTTTTTCACTAGGAGGGTGGTGAAACACTGGAATGCGTTACCTAGGGAGGTGGTAGAATCTCCTTCCTTAGAAGTTTTTAAGGTCAGGCTTGACAAAGCCCTGGCTGGGATGATTTAATTGGGGATTGGTCCTGCTCTGAGCAGGGGGTTGGACTAGATGACCTCCTGAGGTCCCTTCCAACCCTGATATTCTATGATTCTACCAATACTTAATGAAATGACCTTTCTGCCCTGGAAGCTTGTGCACTGTTATTTATTAGCTGGTCCAATAAAAGATACCACATTTCCTACCTTATTTCCTCCGCTTATTATTTGTGGCCTAGACATTAAAAAGAGCTACAGGGCATTAAAAAACTCCTCATTAATGTTGCTATTTTACTCCAATGACAGTCATCTGGCCAGCAGAGAGAGAACATATTTACTATCAAACACTATTCTTAGAACTGTGCTTGCACCAGTTGATTATATTACAATGTTTTAGACAAATAAGGATGTATACTGACACACTGACACATCAGCTTATTCTCCATAAGAAACAAAGGAGGAAAATAATAAAGAACAATTTATTTTAAACAGAAAAAGGACAAGTCTGATCAGGGTGAAAATGGCATTTTTAAGATTCTGAGATGCACTGTTAAAATGAAACCTATTAAAAAAAGTTGACAGTGTCTCTTTAATAAACTGCCCTTGCAATGAGGAATACCAAGGAAGGAAATGTTACGAGGGTTGAATTGTTAGACAGCACCATTTTGTTACAAATATTTTAAAAGATTTAGCAAGACCCGAGATTTGAAATGCCATTAAAGATAATTGATTTCATGTTGTGTGGTATATCCTCAGTTTAAATAAAGAGGCAATAGCATTACCTATGATCAATGTACAATTTAATTGCACAGCTTTGAATATGAAAAGCCTTCCGTTACCAATTAATAGGTCTCTTACATGGCAAAAGAGATGCAGTACTAAAATAAAGGAGACTCTTGTTGAATGACCTACAATAAAAGTAACTGCATTTCTGCTGGGGGAGATGTGCACTTAAATAGAATACTTAAGAAATGCAGAAGCAATAGCCATAATCCACGGCAGCCATAATGCTAGTGGGAAGTAGATAAACCTAATGTGCTCCAGACACACAGGTTTAAATAACAACCACTTCTGCATGCTGATCTGCCATATGATTTTTCATGACATTTAAAATAAACTCCATGCTAATTCTTAAGCTGCATAAACTGGCAGAGCAACCTCATGAAACATACAGCCAGAAACCATGTCAGTAACCATGCCTTTTAGCTCTTTGGGAAGGTTTAGGATTCCTGATTTAACTCCAAACCTTAAAGTAGATGAGCTTCCCTCTTACCCTGAAACAGTGTGTGCAAATAAACGTAGAGTATGTTCAAACTAGCAAAAGACACCTACAGGCCCCCAAATTTCTGCATTATTACTCAGGCAAAGTTCAGTGGGAGTTTTGCCTGAATAAAAGCCGTGGGATTGGACACTAAATATTCCCGATTAAGGCCCCAATCCTCCAAAATGTATGCATGTGCTTATCTTTAACCCACTAAGTTCAGTGGGCCTGCTCAGTGCCTAAAGTTGTGCACTTGTGTAAATCTTCACAGACTCAGAACTGAAGACATCTTACCACATAAGAGACAGAGGGATGAGTATGATTGAGCTATGTATGATTCATGCTCACCAATGCAAAATGCTCCCCTTCATATGTGTATAGGAAATGGAGCTGGTGTGGTGCTTAGGGTGACCAGGTGTCTGGTTAGGATTAGGGATAGGGTTAGGGAGCCCGCACCCCTGGAGCCCGCACCCCCAGTTATAGCCCTCACCCCTTCCCACACCCCA